AATTCTAGAGTCCTAGGTCCCTAGGGGAAAAGAAAACAAAAGTCTATTATATTGGAAGCAGACAACACCCCCAAGGAAACACTCTTTCCATTGATGGTTTACTCAGAGCTGCTCATCATAGAGCTAACTATGCCTGTATTAGGTTTCATTACTGTGTGAATAAACCTCTGGAAATCCTGGCGTAGTCAAGTTAACACAAAACCCTAACCATTACAGTGTGCCTGACTGAAACCATAGTATTGTCAGTCACCTTATATGTATGTGAAAGTTGGTCAAAGAATAAGGGAAACCATAGAAGAATCCGTGCATTAGAATTATGGTGTGGGTTGTGGTGGTTATGTGCCATGGAGTAGGTTCTGACTCATGGCAACCCTGCATATAGTTTCCGAGACTGTAAATCTCTATGGTAACAGAAGGTCTCATCTTTCTCCTACATGGAACGGTTGGTAGTTTTGAACTGCTGACCTTGAGATTAGCAGCCCAACTCGTAACCACTATGCTACCAGAGCTCCTTTATGGTATGGGAGAAGAATATTAAAAGTACCATAGACTGCCAAAAGAACAAACAGATCTGTGTTTGGAAAAAGGACAAACAGAATGCTCCTTACAAGTAAGGATGGCGGGACTTCATTTCTTAGATTTTGGCTATGTTCTCAGGAGGAATCATTTCCTGGAGAAGGCCATTGTGCTAGCTAAAGTGGAGGGTTAGAGAAAAAGAGGAAGACTTCTGACAAGATGGACTGGCACAGTTACAGCATCCATGGGCTCAAGTTTTGCAACAATTGTGAGGATGGCACAGGACTAGGCAGTGTTTTGTTCTGTTGTGCATAGGGTAATGATGAGTTGGGATTTACTCAACAGAACGTAACAACAGCTCTTTCAAATATCCTGTGTAAGTAGCTATCGAGCTTTTGTGTGAAAACCCCAGTTACTAGCTTATAAAGCATTGCATTCCATACTTCAATTAGAAATGTCTTTCTAGTGAAGCAAGTCTACCTGTTGGACATTTTTCTTGTGGGTTGTAAATCTGATTTTTAGATTTATAACTTTTAGATTTTATTCAAAAATTTTTAAATTAAAAAAATATATATGTATATATATTTGACCTCTGTTGCACCGGATAACCCCTTTACCGGATAACCCCTTTACCGGATAACCCCTTTACCGGATGACCCCTTTACCGGATAACCCCTTTACCGGATAACCCCTTTACCGGATAACCCCTTTACCGGATAACCCCTTTACCGGATGACCCCTTTACTGGATAACCCCTTTACTTATGTGAAGGTAACAATTGCATCAGCCTGCAGCCTTTTTCCCACCCAGACAAATGCCCTCAATGCATCGATTCATGATTCTGAGTGATATGAGAAATGAGTCATTCAGGGTACAGTTTATAATACTTCCAATTTCTTTAATAAAAACGTCTTCATATTGTGTTCTCTAGAGTTCCTATTTCCAAGAAACAGACAATAACATCAGTTGTTTTTTGGGTTTTTTTCTAGAGTTAATAATATAACTAACTAGCCTCTGTTTTTGTTTTTTGGTTATTGTGGGAAAAAATTCATTAAAATGGAATTTCACTGGTCTAACTAATTTAATCATTTAATTTTTTTTTTCCTTGCAACTTAAGAAAACGTGAAGGGTTGGGTGGCTGTTAGTCATAGGACAGAACCAGGAAGTGATGGACAGCAAGGTTGCCATGTAAACTCCAATACAGGGTCTTCGTAGGCACTAACACATCCACTTGAGAGAAGTGTACTAACAATTCAGGAAAATCGTTCATCTATGGGACATCCAGTTACCCCATTTCTAACTCTTGGTTATTGGCTTGGACCCCAGTCATGATGGTGGTGGTGGTTATGTGCCGTGGAGTCGGTTCTGACTCATAGCGACCCTATACAGGGTTTCCGACACTATAAATCTTTACAGGAGCAGAAAACCTCATCTTTCTACCGCGGAATAGCTGGTAGTTTTGAACTGCTGACCCTGAGGTTGCCATCCTGATTCATAACCACTACACTATCAGAGCTGCTTTGGACCCCAGTCATAAGGGAAGGAAATAGTACTTGATACATTAGGAGCACACCACAATCAAGCACTCATTCACTCTGTCCTACAAGTAACTCGCTTGTGTTGGCTCTGTAAGATAAGCACTAGACAGCGAACCACAAGATCGGCAGTTCGAGCCCACCAGCAGCTCCGTGAGATAAAGATGAGGCTTTTTGTTCCTGTAAAGTTGTATAGCCTCGGAAACCTTACACAGGGTTGCTGTGAGTCAGAACCGACTCCACAGCACATAGCAAGAGCAACAACACGCTAGGAGGGGGGCAATGGTGTTTCAGTAATAGAATCCTCTCCTTCTGCACGGGACACTCCGGTGCAGTTCCCAGCCAAGGTACCTCACAAGCTGCCACTGCTTATCTGTCAGTGGAAGCTTGAGAGTTGCTGTGATGTGAACAGGGGTCAGTGGAGCGTCCATACTAAGACTGACTAGGAAGAAAGATCTGAAAGTCTCCTTTTGAAAATCAGGCAATCACAACTGTACGCATCACGAGTGCAAAGCTAATGCTCTCCATGTAAACTATCACTCAATGCACAATGAAAACTTTACACACACACACACACAAAACCAAAGACATTAGAGTAGGCACACCGAAATGGAACTTTCTGCAGGACAATTGATCTAGTATTTCAAGACGTCAATAGTCTGAAAAAAAGTGAATGAAAGGAAAGGATTGCTCTAAATTAAAATAACTTATTGAACATTATAAACCAACTGTAAAAGAAAATGTTTTCAAGGTCATGAAGGAAATTGGATTGTGGACTGAGTATTAGATGACACCAAAGAACTACTGTTAATTTTGTTACATGTGCTAATGGTCTTGTTGTCATACTGGTGTCTTTGTTGTTGTTAAGTGCCGTCGAGTCGGTTCCGACCCATAGCGACCCTATACAGGGTTTCCGAGGGTGTAAATCCTTACGGGAGTAGAAAGCCTCATCTTTCTCCCGCGGAGCGGCTGGTGTCTTTACATGAGCCTAATATAAGGGTTGACTTTGCTTTAAAATATTTTAGCAGAAAAGAGAAAAAAATGGAATACATGAAGCAAAAAGTATCTTTCTTGTTAACTGTGGAAAATACGTACATAATAAACTGTCTGCCTTTCCAAAAAAAATAAATAAATACCTCACACATCACAATGGCGTGAACTGTAATCAGTCATGGCCTTGGCAGCGTTCCAACCCTTTTTGCCAAGGTTGCCATGAGGTGGGGGCCAAGTTGACAGCCACTGACAACAGCAATAATAAAGTACCGGCGCGTGGTGCTGAGGGATAATGCGCTGCACCACAAGGTCGATTTGAACCGCAAGATCGGCGGTTCAAATTCATCAGCTGCTTCTCGGAAACCCTAAGCAGGGTTGCTATGAATCGGAACCGACTCGATGGCACATAAAAACAACAACAGGAGTGTTTCTAGGGAGGAGAATTTGTACATATCCTACCGCCCAACAAAGGCCTGATGATAGTCAGTAGGGAAAAGGGACACAGCCACCTACGTCTTCTTCCAACCCAACATGAGTCAGGTAGAGGCCAAGTGTCTTATCTGTGGCGGATGAGTCTGTGGTTTGGCAGTATTGCTGCGATGGTTCCAGTTCGTACATGTGTGGGTTTATTGTGAACAACACGTGTTTAAACATGTCTCTGCGGACAGTGGGTGGCTGCAGTAATACTCTGACTAATACACTGGGTCTCGCCAGGTGCCTTCAAAAATAAAGTCAATTCAAAGCCATGAATGCCGAGGGACTCTTCAAGGGCAGTTAAATGCAAGGCAGAGGGATCAGCTCAGAAGGTAAGGGACTGTCTTTTGGGGTCCCTGATAGTCTCAAATGACACGGAACAGTCACGGGAACTTACTAAGAAGACATTTTCAGAAAATTGAAAACTATTGGTGAGAGAAAGCCTCGGAAGGTGTTGCTAAGGAATATTCTCACACCGTAACAACGCACCTTTTCATCTGAGGCTTGTAATGGCCGTCCTAATGAGAATTTGGTTAGGAAACCTTACCCCATCTACCCTGCTGGATCAATCTTGCCACTCCAGACTTCTTTTTGTTCCCAAAATTCAAAACACATTAAAAAGGAACACGATTTGAGTACCTGGAGGATGCCCAAACTGCCATTTTTACAGTTTGTAAATCGAAGAGTGCAGAGTTGTTCAGGGACGGGTTAGCGAGCTGGAAGCACCGCTTTCAGAAGGGAGGGCGTAGACGGCGATAGAGACGATGTTGAGAAACGAGAGCTTCACCTTTTGATATCTTTGTTTACTAAAGGTTTCTAGGAAGGAGCTCTGGTAGTGTAGTTGTTACAAATTGGGCTGCTAATCTTACGGTCAGCAGTTTCCTTTTTGTCTTGCTCTTCTATCTGCAATGTCACACCACCCACATTGGTGGATGATATTCATAACTCAGCGCTTCAAACTCACCAGCCACTCCTCAGAAAAACTATACAGGATCGCTGTGAGTCAGAACTGATCACATGGCAACTAACAACAATAGCATCAGCGTAAAAACATATCATCGCATTGAAGGGGCACAACATTTGTTTTTTCTTGCTTCTTTCCAACAGCTGGCTGTCCCAACTCCCTGATTAAAGAGCTGCATCATTTCCGGATTCTTGGAGAAGAGCAGGTGAGTCACTATCAGACAGTCACGAAAGACAGACACTAATGAGACAGTTTGGGTTTCCTCAAGGGGAACAGAACGCATCTCCCGAAATGGGCAAGAAAAACACGCGGGAGAGATCTGAGAGGGACACGTTTTCCTCTTCTATCCATCAGACCTGACAGGTGATTAATTGGTACATCTGCTATCTGCCACAGCTTCATATCTCAAAACTCACGCAGTCAACAGGCAACACAGAGGGGCAAGTCAGCAAACAAAGAGATGCTCCGATGAATGATGCCTTCAGGATCTATAGCCACAGACATCCTGACTGGGCGTGCTTGGTGCGTGTTGTTTATATAGAGGAACTTCCAAAAGCTCAGGGGAAATGGGAATTCAAAGATCGTGGAAGTTTTCAATGTACTTTTGGAAGCCCCCCTCATATTTCTCAGCAATCCTTCTGTTGGTGCACGTGAACACACGACTTCTATCCAAAGGACTTTTATACAAATCTACTTTATATTTGTAATATTCGTAACATAAAGTAGATCATTTCAGTGCTGTGTTGTTTTCAGTGAGACATGCCATATTTTAAATAGATGTGTGAAGTAAATAATCCAGGATGCTAAAGTGTTATAAACACACACACGTGCATATTTATTTATTGACTGCAGAAAAAGAAATCTCTTGATCCTTGTATAGACTTGTGTTGTTGTTACCGTCAAGTCAGTTCTGACCCTGAACAGGGTTTCCAAGGAGCAGCTGGTGGGTTTGAACTGCCGACCTTGTGGTTCACAGTCCTATGTGGATCCTACAGCCCCACACCAGCAGTCCCTATGGACTTGTCGCTCCATATTAATATGTTAAATCTGGGTGTCAATTCATCCTGAAAATATTTACATCAAATAGCTGACGAATTTCTGGCCGACCAATTGCTTTCACTCTCAAATGTCATCTTCGCCCACTTTGACTCCAGAATGGGCGGAGAGTAATGGGTATGTGGGTCCTTCGTTTTGTCAATAAATTCTTGTTTGGTGTGCATCAAAATGTTCATGGGAAAATTCATTGCATTTTTCCACAAACTTTTTGAAAACCCCTTGTATATGGTCGAGTGAGACTGCCGTTTCTCATGAGACTCAAAGCAGAAAGAGGTTAATTAAGGGAGACTGAGAAAATGGAAACATGCCCACATCTTTGAATGAACACATTGCAGTAAGCCTCTTTGCTATTTGCATGTTGTGAATTTCCAGGATATCAGACATAAATGTTCAAATACAAGCAGAACACACTGGGCCTCCTTTCTGGAAACAGTTGAATGCTGACTCCCTCAAACACATCAATCGATTGAAAAATGGTTGTATCCCATGTCCATTTTTCAGTGAAAGCCCGAGAGGCTTCCTCCAGCACTGGTTGCTACTCTGACAGTTCCTCTGGATAAAGGAGGAGCTTTCTTAGAAGAGAAAGCTTCTAAGTCGTACCAATATTTGCAGATTCTTTCCATATTTGTTTTGCAGCCGTTGGGTGATTAGTAGGAAAGAAGCCAGCTGCTGTCATCTCCTTAGGTTTACATAAAATTCAGGCCACTTTATATTCTTGGAGGAATTTAATTGAGCCTTAATTATAATCAATATTACCCTGAGTCTTACATAGCAACATAGTACACCATGGCTATATTGATCTTACGTCCTGAGAAATCACACTGCGTCTGTCCTTCTTTCCTGATGCTCAACAGATACCTTACTGAGCCCAGACCTGGGCTCTATGTCAGTGTAGGATGTAGGGATGTTGTTGTTGTTGTTGTTGTTGGGTACCATGGAGCTAATTCTAACTCAGAGTGCCCCCTGCCGGTCAAACAGAGTAGAACTGCTCCATGGAACTTCCTGGGCTGTTGTCCCCATAGGAGCAGGTCAAAGGCCTTCTCTCCCAAGGAGCAGCAGGTAGGTTTGAACTGTAGACATTTAGGTTAGCAGCTAAGCACTTAAACATTGAGCTACTAGGTCTTCTTAAGCTCTAGGAATACTGATATTGTTAAGTGCGTTCAAGTCGATCACGAACAACTCAGAGCGACCCTGTATAGGGTTTCCGAGGAGCCACTGGTGTGGTGGGTTTGAATCACTGACCTTGTGATGGAAACCAACCTTGTGGTCCAGTGCATTACCCTACAGTATCACACCAGGCTTCCTTAAGCTCTAGGGATGTTGTTGTTGTTAAGTGCCGTTGAGTCTGTTCAGACCCCTACAGACCCTGTGTAAGGTTTCTGAGGAGCTACTGGTGAGCTTGAACTGCCAACCTTTTGGTTCAAACTGACTTTGCAGTCCAGAGCATTAACCCGCAGTGCCACACCAGGACTCCCAGCTCTTGGGATAGAAGAGTGAAAAAGAAATAGAGCTATAGAGCTCACATTCTAATTGGAAAGACATAAAAACATCATCCAAACCTAAAAACGGAAACCACTGCTATCAAATGGTTTCCAAATCAAAGCAGCCCCAATAAAGTCTCCAAGTCTGTCAGCCTTTAGAGGGGCAGAGAGCCTCATCTTTCTCCCACAGAATGACTGAGACCTTGCAGTTAGTAGCCCATCGCTTAACCAGGGGTCCTTAAAAACACCAACATGTTCAGTGTATTTGATGTTAGATGGTGGAGATTCCTTCGGGAGAGGATGGAGCATTCTGGCCCCCACCACTTCTGCCTGAGGCCTTGAGCCACCTCTCTCGGAGCTCCTGAAATGCTCAGCTCTCTCTGTATTATTGAGGCAGCTTACCTCACTGACCAAAATACACTTTTGATTGTCACGTGTGTTCCAAGTAGCCTTGGATACATCATTTCACCTCTCTCTAACTTGGCTTTTCCATTTGTAGAAAATGCTGGGGTAGGGAGACTCTCAATCTTCTCTTAAGAACTTTGATCAACAAAAGAATGGCAAAGTTTGGTGCATTTATGAAATATGGCACCAAATGTTTCTGATTTAAACCCTGTTTACACTCCATCAACAGACTGAACTGTTGGCAGCAACACAAACACTGAAGGAAGTGTAATGTTCACTTGGAGAGTGAATCGGTAAAAACTACCCGGATGCTGGGTAATTGCTGAATTCACCAACGAGCGAGCTCATGTGATCATTCCTTTCCTGTTTTTCCTTGTTCTTTCTTAGACATCTTGATTTTTTTGAGATTTGGATCAAAAGTAAATCTTTAAACTCTAGAAACCATTACCTTGGTAAAATTAAATTTAAATATTTTGCAATTTAGAATGGCACATTTGTTTTACCTTCTTTGCCATATTTCTGCTTTTTGCTTATAATTCATATTCATAAGGCCCTTTCTTTCCCACAAGCCCAAACATGTTGACAAAGATATTATTATGTTATATTTAGTATAATATAAATTATATTTAGGCAAACAAAAAGATATTATTATACTCAGGCAAAACTCCACAGTTTCAGGTGAGCCCTAAAGAGACCATGAGGTTTGAAGAGCTTTCAGAAGACTTGCATATCAGAAATGCCTCCACTTTTCCCAGCTCCCTCCATCTTAGGCTTCTTGTTGTTGTTGTTGTTGTTAAGTGCCATCAACTTCACTCTGACTCATGATGACTCAGAGTAGGTTTCTGAGGAGCAGTTGGTGACTTTAAACTGCTGCTGGCCATGTCATTCAAACTGACCTTGTGGTCCAGTGCTTACCCTACAGTGCCACACCAGGATTCCATCAGGATTTTAAGGAACATAACCTTCATTCATCCAACAAATATTTATTAAGTACATCTTGTACCATTATTGTGTGACTGTTAGATAAGAAGGAAAACAGTAATCATGACAAATGTACTGATGAAAACAAACTGTGGATGAGGTCTAACCTACATGAGATAAAGGATCTAGGAACCCTGAGACTTAAATGTTGAGAAGGTACCAACTATTACATGCGTTAGGATGTCAGTATTGGGGTGGAGATCCGTTGCATGCAGAAGAAAGCGCCTGCACCCCAGGAGCTGGGAAGGCTGCTTTGTTGAAGACATTGAATGAAGCCAGTGTAGATTGATGATAATGATCAAAAGATGATAAAAGATGAAGGTCATCCCGGCCACTGTCAGGAGTTTAGATTTTATTCTGAGTTCAATGGGAACTTGTGAAGAGCTAGGCAGGGGACTGACACTGTCTAAATTACATTGTACGAATGCCAATCGCACTGCCATGTTGAGATGGTCCCGATTAAGGTGGATGACAGAGGAGATAGAAAGAAGTGGATATCGCGTGGTGAAATACAGGCATTGGTGATTGATTGGCTCTGAGCCAGAGAAATGAAGGAATCCTGAATTTCTCTTTGGCTGAGTTTGAGAAAATAAGCTCAGAGAGACAGAAAGAAGAATGGTGGAAGTGGAGAGTAGAGGATTCCTTTCAAGAAATGGGCCGATTAGCCTGAAAAATCCCATGTGTCTACAGGAAGAGTCCTGGACTCCTGGTATAGTACTGTAGGATCAGCACTGGACTGTGAACCATAAGATCGGCAAATCAAACCCACTAGCTGCTCCTCAGAAACCCTATACAGGGTCGCTACGAGTCAGAACTGACTTGACAGCATTTAACAATAACACCACAGAGGGAGGCTCTTGGGCTTATAAGCTGGTACTACTGAAAACCATTTTCTAGGACTGTAGTAAAGAGAAAAACAATGCATGCCCACCTACAACCTTGCTCTGTGCCATGAGCCTACAGGAGACATGATTTCCAAAGCCTCTAGAAGACTCCAACACCAAGCCATTTAGACAGTCCCATGAAGAAAGCATCTTACGGATATCTGCCTTGATTCTTGTCATGTGCACTGCCCTGCCATTACATAGCACGGACTGGGGACAACAAAGCCCACTGCTTCTGACCTCCTTTCCAGAACATTCCTCAACTCCTAGAAATGACACTTTGAGGCATCATATCATTTGAGACATCTGAGGAAAGGGCAAGGTCTTCCAGATCCAGTCTGTTGCTGTAATGATGCTGTAAGTGGTGTGGGCGTTGTCGCCTCCTTACATTTGGTTTC